CCCCTATTTATGCATGATTGGTATAATTCTGCTCTGGGCATGCCTATTGGTTATCGAGGGATTACAGCTACAGTAGGGGTTGGATGTCCGGCATAATAGAACTTATCAACAGTAAGCATCGGAGAACAAAGTGTAGATAATATTTTTTTATGAGTGCCTGCCCTAATAAAAAAAGTCGTAACATCGGCGGCGGTGAGCTCGTTTGGCTTCGTCGTGAAAGAACAAGGTGATGTATGTTGGTGTAACCTATACCGCCTTCTCTCAAACTTGCAACTGTTTCTCTTCTCGCTAAAGCTATTGCGGGTCATATCCAGCACCGTACGTCATTAGATTGTCTGCGACTGCAAGCTAAATCGCTGGTTGTCTTCAAACCTTGATATCCAACGGCGGCTGCACATGCATCTGCTCCAATTAGCTCAGTGGATGGACGAAAAGATGCTAAAAAACCAAAGACTTACATCGCTGCAGCCATCGCCGCCTGCGCTCTCACCGCCACCAACGTCGCCGCTGACGGAGCCACTGGCGCAGATTGACAAACCGAAAGAATAACGTTAGCATTAGCCCGCTCAAAAAAACATCATCCGCTTCTCCACTTCTTCTACTAACCAACTCAATAATAAAGACTTACATCGCTGCTGCCATCGCCGCCTGCGCTCTCACCGCCACCAACGTCGCCGCTGACGGAGCCACTGGCGCAGATTGACAAACCGAAAGAATAACGTCTTTTTGCTTTTTCCAGTCTAATCACATACTAAGTACGATATTTTGGATGTTGTCCGAACGTTGACCCATTTACGTTACGCTCACCCTGTGTGGGCTGTCCATTACTCATTCTGAGGTACATGTATTCCCAGTATAAGAACACAAGTGTATTTCAGCACAGCACATACACGCCTTTTTGTTGACTATTCCCTCGAGTCGAGCCCTCCTAGTTACGCAGGCGTTGACCCGAGGTAGGCGAGCCCCAGGTCGTAGGAGAGTTTCCTCCCCACGCAGGCGTCTCTGGCGATGGCGTCTTTGACGTCGTCCTCTCTGTGCCAGATCCCGACGTCGTTGGTGTCGTTTCCGAGCCACCTGAGCCTGCCAAGGGGATGCAGGCCTTATACACCTGCCACGAGTACTTGTTCTTCAGGAAGCGGATGCCCAGCCAGTACCAGCGCAGCGTGCACGTGCCCTTGCATGACGAGTAGTCCACAGTGTAGTCCTTGCCTGGGAACTTCTCGTGACAGTTGTCGCCATCCAGCACCATCTTGTCGTCGAGCCACACCTCGCACGGTCCGTCGTGCGTGTAACCAGTCGATCGCATGGCGTCACCCGCCGGAATAGGCTGCGGCGTCCCCCGCCGGAATAGGCTGCGGCGTCCCCTTCGGGTCCGTAAAACCGCACGAGAAGTCGGCGCCGCTGGTCACGTCGTACTTGGCTCTGTCCATGAAGTCACGAAGCGATTTGTAGCCGTTTTCATCACGCCAGGCCTTGAAATCCTGCTGAGGCTTAAAGCCCTGGTTCTCTAAGAAAGCCAGCGGATTGTACTTGGTGTCCTTGTCTTGTGTCGTCCATTGGGGCTCCGGGAGCAGCACAATCTGATGTGCATCCGCAGTCGGACGGACGGCAAAATGAAAAGTGGTGGCGAGAGAATTGCTAGTGGTGCGCTGATGCAGCATACCTTACAGTTGGTCTTGGGCAAGGACTCGTATTTTACATACGTGGTATGTACCTTTACTATGTTTCTCAAGAGAGATTGGATATTCAAGGTTTTGAAGACATCACGGGGGCCGCAGACAAATATTTCAGGATTCGGCTCGAAATTTTTTACTTGCTGTTCGTAGTATTAAAAAAAAAGCAAGCGTAAAGATACTTCGCAAGTACTATTAATACGTAGTACATTCTTTTAAAATGGTGGTTGTGGATTGTATTAAAAGCATGACGTGATGTACATGTACAACAGTGTTTAGATGTCAGGCAAACTTGATTATAACAGTTTTTGTTTAGGGGGGGGGGAAATAATACTCTTACAGTATTAATAGTAGTATCAAAGCATTAAGAAAATGAGTCAGAATGTTGGCAGATGTATTATTCGAGTATCCCGCCCTCAACGAGGTGTTGATAACGCAAATCCGGATTACCAGTACTGTAATATCGGCGTCAAGTGTCACCTTCATACCCAAAATCTAATGATCAGGATAAGTTTAAGGTGCTGGTTATGGATGAATCATGAATTGTGTTGTTGTACTACAGCAGCACAATTCTTTTACAACTTGTACCGGTAGCTAGCTCTAATCTCTGTGAATGTATGTATCTACGACGTCGTCGTCCCAGGAAACATCTCCTATTAATACACAGTCGCCTAGCCACGATAAAGCCTTTAAAGCGGTAGCCAGCTCTTCTACGCTCGGTCCTTCAGGGTATATTCCATGCTATGTGTAACGGGGTACGTAGCACTAAGTGTACCCTGGTTACATGAAGTGTGACACTTCACACTTCAGGAGTATGACATGTCATACTCCGGGATATTTGGTACAAGGTACCAAGGTCATTCAAAACCAACCATTGGTTTTATGACATTGCATTTCTATAGGTAACTGATAGTTTGTATTAACCTCAAACTTAACCTACCTATAAATATACTCAGTTTACAATCTACCTTATTTAGGTCACTTCGCTCTCTTTAATTAAAGAGGGGACCTGTGAACTGCCGCTCACTGAGAGTTTGTATACTCTCGGAAGATAACTTCCTCTAGCGCAAGGTGCTGTGTGACCCCGTCACACTTGGTAGCACTAGTAGTCAATCCACGCCACCGCGGATAGACTACCTGAACCTCTCCGAAGTTCGTTGCCATGGATAGGAACGACTTCTCCCATTTAAACGACTCTCACTTCGAGTCGGTTTGGAAGATGGCAGGCATCCTCAAGATGGAGGCCCTGCAGAGCCTGGTGGTATCAACACCGGCTGAGCAGCTCGAGCGCGTCAATGCATTCGACGCGTACGAGCAGGGCCTCATCGCGCATGTGCGGGAGAACCTGCAGGCTCCGGCTGCGGAAGCAAATCCACCTCACCCGAAGCCAATACGGCTGAAGGTTAAGCCGTATGAAGGGAAGGAAGGCGAGAACCTTCACTTCTGGGTCCGAGAAGTAGAGCTCGCGATGGACGCGGCTCTGATCTCGACCGAGCAACTGCGTGTTGCTTTTGCACTCTCCAACCTTAGCGGTCGTGCTAAGAGCTGGGTGTACACTCGGGAAGCAACATCCCCTGGATGTTTCACATTCTGGGCTCAGCTGTGCGAACAGCTCCGAGCCGCGTTCCTCCCGGCAAACTACGAGTACCGCCAGCGTTCGCGCTTCCTCGCGTGTAAACCAGGAAGGCGCGAGCTGCACGAGTATGTGCAAGAGATACGGGAGTTCACGGCGTCCCTAGTGGGAATTCCACTCAACGAACGGTTACCTGATGTTTATGAAGGTGCTCCTAATAATATTTCTAGTTTTTTTGCTATTGTTCCGAAAATAGCTTTTATTGGTATTTTAATTCGTTTATTTTTTGAAATTTTTTTTAATATTTCATATTTTTTTGAAATTTTTTTTTATATTATTTCATTTTTATCTATGTTAATAGGTGCATTATCCGCATTACAGCAAAAAAAAATTAAAAGATTATTAGCTTATAGTTCTATCAGTCATGTAGGTTTTATTTTAATAGGATTTACTTCAAATATGTTAAATAATATTCCATTTATTTTATTATATGTTCTTATTTATATTATAACAAGTATTAATTTATGGACTTCATATTTATCTTTAAATATAAATCATAAACCAATTAAATATTTAACAGATTTATCAAATATACATACTATTAATAAATTAATTGCTATTATAGAAAGGGATGCAAGCTTTTCTCGGTGCACTTAACTATTACGGCCGATTCATTCAGAACTTGGCCGTTTATGG